GTATTTTCACAGCTCTAATTTTAAGTTTGTTGGCAGTTCACAGGTGCATTTTTGATCACCATGCTCCATAATTTCTATTTCGTTATAACTTTCTTTTGCATATGTTATATAGGACATGAAATAGTCATTTTTTCTAAGTAGATCAAATATGTAAATACAAATAATGCAATCTTAGAAATACCAGAAGAAACCAAGGAAAAATTTTTAAAACATAACCTTGTGGGGGGCCTCCCAGGTGGCACAAGGATTAGTCTCCCTTCATCAAGCTATTGCCAGTCATTTAGGCAGGAGTTTGATCCCCGGTCAGGGAGCTGGCCCACATGGCAAGGCAGACTTCTCCTGTCCCTCCTGCTGCTCCCCTCAGCAGTGGATTTCAGTAGACCTGCCTGATCTGCTCCCCACTCTGTCTTGGGTGAATCCTCTCACCTCCTACACCTCTGGCCTTTACCCCAGTTCTTGTATGCATAAATAACAAATAAAAATAAATATTAAAAAAATAATCTTGGCCTGACAAAGACTTTTCTAAACATGACAAAACATCCAGAATACTTCAAAGACTAAGGAATATGGTGAATTTCACCATTAAAAAAGTAAAAAAGAGGCCCTCCCTGGTGGCGCAGCGGGTTGAAGCACAGCACTGAGAGGCTTAAGCCGCTTCCGCATGGGTTCTATTCCCGCCTGCCCCGGAGGTGACCACATGGTGTGGCAGACCTCTCCTGGCCCGCCCACTGCTCCCCTCAGCAGTGTGCTTCGTTGATCTGCCTGTTCTGCTCCCCACTGTCCCTGGTGAATCCTCTCACCCTCCGCATCTCTGGCCTGTACCCCAGTTCTGTATGAATAAATAAATATAAATCTAAAAAAAAAAAGTAAAAAAGAAAACAACCAACTAGAAATAAATGAAACTCACAAGGAGCTCATTTCTCTAATATGTGCTCTTCCAAATCAGTACTAAGAGTCAATCCTTTTCAGAAAAATAAAACAAGAATATGAACAGATAGTTCATAAATAAGGAAATACCAAAGAATTAAAAAAAAAAAAAAAAACTAAATGCTGACAGTCTGTTCAGAGTAAGAGAAAAGGAATCTTCTGGGACATCACAGTACGATGGTGAGGAAGATGAAAAAATAAAAGTTACGGTACAGACCACTTGCTGTAGTCATTTTTCAACCCTGAGCCGACCTGCCTTCATTCCTCCAAGATTTTACTGTAGGTCACTGCACATGCTTCTGGACCTGGTCTTGTCGTAATTCTTGGTGATTTCAGTGTCAACACAGACACATGACGTCCCCAACATTGCGTCCCCTTCACTGTTTAAGCCTCTCCTCCACTAACCTTGTGTCCAGCCTCCATTGGTCACACTTGACCGGTAAAGGCAACCCCCAAATAATCCTACCTACAGACACTCTGCTGTCTGAGCACCTCTAACCTGCTCAACTCCCTCCCAGGGCCTCACTTCAATCATTCCTTGGACCATCGGTCTCCATGCTGCGCTCAACCCACCTTCTCTTCATTTTCCTCCAGGCCTCTCCTCACCCAGCTTAAGTTTCTTATAAATACCCACTGCATACACTTTTCATTCTCCTGCCCTCTCACGTGTCTCACAGAACTCACCTGACTTGCCTCTAGTTGGAGGCCACCATTCACCTGCTCTGCAACCCCTGAGCCAGAGGGGCTGCTCACTTGGAATTTACACAGCCCTCAGGCGGGCGCTCATTGCTGCCAGGCACACACAGGACATGGCCTGGTCCACTCAGTCTCCCAGACCCTCACTTCATGGCCGGTGTCTCCCTCCTGGCCTCGGTGTTGAACTTCCAATGTCATGGGGAAACAAGGCAAGCAAAAGCATGGGCAGTCTCTCCTGCTGGCTCTCCCCAGGACCGTGCCTGTGTTCAGCTTCTGTGTGAGCTGGGCTAAACCCAGCCACGCCCACAAGGGGACCCACCTCTCCCCCCCACTACTCCCCACTGTCAATCACTGCCCGGGCACCTCCTGCCCATCTCTTACTTGTCATTTCCCCTTTACTCTGGGCTTTCCCATCAGTACATGAGCACTGCATTTCTGCCACTGCTCTGTTGCCTTGTTTCAGAGCAAAACTTAGGATCCTGAGTTTTCTCCATATTAGAGACAGGAGTTCCTGTCTCTAATCTCTCCCCTGGTCTCTCTGACCTACTCCTTGGCAGACACTGAAACAGCTCCTGTTCAGGTCACCATTGTCCCCCTCTCCCCCATGGTGGCCCCCTACATCTAATTCTTAGTCTTAGTCTTACTCATAACCATGAGCAGCACTGATGCTGCAGGCTGTTGCCTTTGGGAGCTGTTACTTATCTCAGACTCAGGACACTCCGTTCCCCTGACTTCCTCTTCACTGGCTGAGCCTTCGCCTTCTCTCCTTTGCTGGGGTCATTGCTCTGAAATACTCAAGTGTCCAGAACACCTCGTCTTGGGATTCTTCTATTTTCTATTGACAATCATTCACTATATTCAAATGTATATTTGCAAGCTGACTATTGAGAGCCGTACCCCTATTTTCAACTGCTTTTTTTTTAAGATTTATTTATTTATTCATACAGAACTGGGGTACAGGCCAGAGATGTGGAGGGTGAGAGGATTCACCAGAGACAGAGTGGGGAGCAGAACAGGCAGATCGACGAGGTACATTGCTGAGGGGAGCAGTGGGCGGGTCAGGAGAGGTCTGCCGCGCCATGTGGTCACCTCCGGGGCAGGCGGGGATTGAACTCTTGCGGAAGTGGCTTTAACACGCTGCGCCACCAGGGAGGGCCCTCAACTACTTTTGTAACACTCCCACCTGGATAGTTAGCAAGCATCTTAGACAAAAGTGACCAAAACCAAACTCCTCATCTTCTTCCTCCTACATCTGATGCTCCTAAAATCTTGCCTTTCTTAGTAAATACAAGTTCTTTCTAAATTGCTTGGATCAGGAACCTTGGAGACATTGTTGGCTTCTCTGTCATTTTGTATCTCCTTCCATAACAAAATCTGTCACTTCTACCAACAAAATCTTCCCAGAATCCAACCACTTCTTACAACCTCCTCTGTAACAGCCCTGGTCTCAGCCTCCATTATTTCTCACTTAGAAAGTTGTACCGGCTCTCTAATTCATCTCCTCCTGCAGGTTATCCCATCCATGTAGGAGCTAGATTGATCTTGCTAAAATATAAATCAGGGCGCCCCTGCCTGGCGGCACAAGGGGTTAAAGAGCAGCACTATGAAGCTGTTGCCAGCCACTGCTGCCCAAGTTCAAACCCGGCCAGTCAGCTGACCCATGTGGCACAGCAGACCGCTCCAGTCTCACCTGCTGCTCCCCTTAGCAGTGTATTTCAGTAGTTCTACTCCCCAATCTATGGTGAATCCTCTCACACCCCACCCCTGCATCTCCAGTCTATACCCCAGTTCTTGTTTGCATAAATAAATCAATCTTTTAAAAAATAAAATATAATGTAAACCAGAGTGTAGGATTGTTCTCCAATCCTCCCAAAGACTTCTATGTCACTCAGAATTTCTATTAACAGTCATTTTTTTGATGACCTCATATATTCAAATTTCTATCTGCATATATATTCCTTTTCAGCTGCTTTTTTAACACTCCCACCTGGATAGTTAGCAAGCTTCTTAAAGCTAAAATGACCAAAGCCAAACTCCTCATCTTCCTCCTTCCAAACTTGAGGCCCTCGTAAGGGTGGCAAATACCGGCTCCTCGCAGTCCCCCATGGCTTCCTCCCCCTGCTCCCCATTATCATGTCTTCCAACCAACCCCATCCTGTTGAGAATTATTTGAGTGAACATGCAACATAATGGTATTCTCAAAATTGCTAGTATGAATGTCAACTGGTATAATCTCAACGGAGGGCAGATTGCCACTAACTCAGAATAACAAATGCCCGTTTCCTTTGACCTAGTGATTCTACTTCTAGTAAAATCCTTTATATAAATCACACATGTACAAAATGGCACAGGGACAAAGGAATTCACTGCAGCATATCTTATCCTTGAAAAAGAATGAAAAGAGCCCAAATATCCAGCAATAGCAGACTATTTAAAGAAATTACACTCCATCCACACCATGGAATATTTTATACTAGCAAAAAAGGGTAAGGAGACTTCTTGCCCCCTAATATAAACTCCTGACATAAGATGTATTTTTAAAGACAAAGAAAGGTGCTGAAAAGTATGTTTCACATAAGTCCACTTTTATTAGAAAAGGGAGAAGGTGTAAAAATATTTGAAACTCTGGAAGGGACAGTGGTTGCTGGTGTGGAGGGCAGTGGGTAGGCGAGAAGCAGCGGGTGGAGACGTTGCCATCAAGCCTTTTAAACCTCTTAATTTCTGAACTTTTATTCATTAAAAGGAGGATAAGACAGTGCCTATGCTCTAAACGGGAATGACCTCTAAGAGACAGTGATAAAAAAAAAAAAAAAAAAAAAGGCCAAGGCACAGAAGTACACTCTATCGAGTGTGCTCTACAGGGGACGGCCGGTTTACTTTCTGTTATGTACTCTCCGTGCCTTTGGGACTTGGTATCTCACACATTCGAAAAGAAACACAAAGATCTGAAACGTCGCGGTGGGAGACTACATGGTTGCGCGCATCTCCTTAACTATCCTGTGACGGAAACCTGTCGAGTATCTCCCTAGTTTTTCAGTGACGGAAATGGACCTTCAAGGAGTCCAGCGGGCAGCACAGAGGCGGGGCATCGCCCAGCCTCTCCCAGGAGAGGTCCCCCAACTCCTTCTCCCCCCACTCCCTCCCTCCTCGCCTTCCCGGGCTCCCTGGGCTCCCTTCGTCGTCCGGGAGCCCTGCTCCTACCTAACCTGGCCGCCTTCGGCGCCTGGGCTGGTGGTTCCCGGGGTCCAGAGCCAGGGGTGAGGGGAGGGAGACAACGAGGGTGGGGTGGGGGAGGAGGAGGCTCGTGCCGGGCGGCTCAGGCGCCCGGGTCTTGCGGCTCCCAGACCTCCCCAGCCCGTACCTGTCAGTTATAGTACCTGTCAATAATGACGGGGTCTGAGGGCGTCTCATTCCGGTTGCCACAGCTCTTGCGGTCACAGCACCGACTGCCAGAAAGAGGAGGAGGGAAGGAAGGAGGGAAGAAGAAGAGAGAGAAGAGGAGAGAGATCGTTGTGTGTGTGTGTGTGTGTGTGTGGAGAGAAACTCACTTCCAGGGTCCTCTCCATGTTGCGTGGGTGGGGGGGTGGGGGGTGGAGAGAGACTCACTTCCAGGGTCCTCTCCAGGTTGCGTGTGTGGGGGTGAGGGGGTGGGGGGGTGGAGAGAGATGCATTTCCAGGGTCCTCTGCAGCAACCTGGAGATCCCGGCCAGAGATAGGTGGCCCGGGAACCCTTGTCCCGAAGGCCTGCTGCTCCTGGAGGACCCAGCAGGCAGCTGGTCACTGCAGAGCCTGGACACTGGCCCTAACCATGTAACCAGCACCTCAGAAATCCCCCCCCCCACACACAAGCAACTTGTCACTACCCTTCCTGAGGTAGCCCAAGTTCCAATCCTATTTTTTAAGATGATTTTCTTTTCCACGCTCAAGAACCCGCACCCTCCCCTCCCCCACGACTGCTATCGCCTTGGGAGCACTTGTCTAGCAATTCAAAGCTCTGGGGTAAGGGGAAGGGGAGTGGAGAGCTGGGTTCACCCCCACCCCCTCACCACAGGAAGCTGCTCCGGGGTCCCCGCGGGAGGCAGCAAAGTTTCCTCCCTCAACCGGAGTTAATCCGGGAGCCCAGGCCCCGCCCCACCACCCTGCGAGCCTTCCCCTGAGCTTTATTATACGCTTCCCAGAGCGGCAGGAGGCCTCTTTCACAAAAACACTCGGAGAAGCCACATAAACAGGCCGGGCTAATGGGGCCTCAAGGACCCTCTCCTCAGCCAGCACTGTGCTCAGGGGCCTCTCGGCTCCCTCAAAGCCTCCCCCACCAGCTTCTCCCGGGAGCAGAGGGAGGGAGGTGGTGACAGCAGTTAGGGGAAGGCTGGGTGGCTAGTCTCGGGCAGCATCTGGGCCAGGGGTGAGCCGCCACCCCCATCTCACCTGCACATGATCTCGTGGGTGAGCAGCACACGGCACATTTCGGGGTTCTTGTCCTGTCCCTCATAGATGATGGCCTGAGGGAGGGGAAGGAGGCTCCTCTCAAGTCCTGGTGTTGGGGGAGAGATGGGCATCTCGGAAGCCCAGGCTGAGGGGGTGCCCTGGCCCCAAGAAAGAGACCGTCCCTTCCCCACTCACACCGGAGATGACGGGAAGGCAAAGCAAGACCTGGGAGCCGCAGGTCCCCAAGCAGGGACTACCTCCTGGTATGTGGGAGTGGGAAGGGTCTGCAGATTCTGTCTGTCCACAGGCAGCTGTGCTTGGGGCCAGGACAGTCCAAGCCATAAGGACAAGGTCTGGCTGCTGGTGGGGTACACACTCTGGTGGCCTACCCCCTAGCCCCCCGGGGACCTCGCCCACATTCTCCCTCTAGGCCAGCCCACAGCTGATTAGCCTGCCCCCACCCCTGTCACCTCCCTAGCTCAGGCCAGAGTCTTGGGTTATGTATCAGCCCCTAGGCTCCATCCCCAGCAAGGAGGGGGCTTCCTAACCCACAATCCTGGCTTCCCAGTTTCTAAAGCTGCCCACCTCCCTGCTTGGGTGCCCCTTTCTCACTGTCTTTCTTTGAGGCTTCCCATGCCCGCACCCCACACAGTCCGCTTTGCCATTGCACGGTCTGCTTCCCTGACTACGGCGACCACAGGCTTTCTAGAAATAAACTATTTCTTCCTCTGCCCTGGGACCGTCGGAAGGCTGTAGGAAGACCCTGGCCACGGGAGAGCGAGCCTCGCACAGGGCCCACTCCTGTGGCCCACTTGAGACTCAGCTGCTCCCTTACCAGCATGAGAGACTCCTTTGAAAAGCCCTGAGGCCTGAGGTGCTGCCCTGGCAGAATCTATTAGGGCTTATTTGGGTTTCTCAGAGCCTCTGACATTGGCCCAGGGCACGGGCCAGGGGCCGAGGGTCTGCAGTGGAAATACTGGCCCCACAGTCCCCTTCATTGCACCAGCCTACCTCTGCGGTTAGCACTAGTGCCCAGGGCTTTCTCCTGTGGTGCCAAGACTCTGCCTCACCTGAAAATGTCTGGAGGGTTACACCTTCCCCTTGGGCGTGATCCCCCCAAACAATGGCTGACAGGCTCTGGCAGGGTATAGATAGCATCCTTACCTGGCCTCAAAGGGGAACAGCTCTGGTGCCTTCTCGGGGCCTTGCCCCAGGTCAGGCTGAGGCTGGGCTGCTGGGACCCCATCCTGACTGAGCACCCCCTCCTGTCCGGTCCCTGGTCCCCTTCTTCCCTCCCTAGTAAACCTCAGACGCCAGAGCCTCCCTCTAGGTTGGGCTTCTAGAGGACACACTGCACCCTTGTACCAAGATGGTCTTTTTTGTAGTCTAGAAGGTGACAGCCACAGATCTGGGTGCCGTCAGTGGGGGCTGGAACTAGGATGGTGGGGATGTGTGTGGGGAGGAGCACAGGCAGGAGGACACTCCCTCAGGCCGCACGGGCCTCCTCTGGGCTGCTCACCTGCTTGGACATGGAGTCTATGAGGCGCACGTAGAGGTCCTGCTCTGTCCGAAGTCCTGGTGGGGCGGGGAGAGGTGCAGGGGACTTGCTGTGGCTGCCGATGAAGGGACCACGCACCACGCCCGCCCCTCCTGGAGCCCCTCAGCCCCATGAATGGGCATCACGAGTGGCATGGTGCTGCGGTGCCCAGTGGGCAGGAGGCTCACTCACCATTGTTATATACCAGCCGGAGGCGGTAATGGATCCCGTTGTTGGTCTTTTCGGCCCCAGGCTCCTGCAGGGACAAGACAGTGAAGGTGTTCCATGTCCCCCCGGCCCTGTGTCCCCAGGGCCCTCCAGCTTCCTCCACCCAGCCCCTTCCCTCCCTTCCATCCATTCACCATGGCTTCATTCGTCTACCACCTGTCCACTCACCTGCCCAGCAAGTGCCCAAGTCCCTGAAGCCCTCCCGCCCCTCCTAAGCTCCAGCACCACAGCGCCCATGGTTTCTCACCCGGTCCTTTTCCACGAAGTCGATGAAGGCCGTGCGCTCCACCTCCACCGGCTGCCCCTGCCGGTCGTACATGGCCAGCACAAAGTGGAAGAAATTGGACTTTCTGAGGTTGGAGGGTGGCTGCTTCTCAAAATGTGCTCGTGCCAGGCCCACACCACTGCAGGGAAGAAAACTGCTGGAGAAACCACGGGAAGTGTCCTCCAAGGACAGAAAGGCCCCCTGGCCTCGGGCGGGCTGGTCAGGGCTTGGCTCTGAGGTGTCAAGAGTTTGGGCAGGAAATCAGACTGGAAGGGGCCCTTTCCACATTTGCCAGGGCCATGGCTCACTAGGGCAGAGGCCTTCCACTCGGAGGTCACGCTGAGGTCCACTCTGCTCCCTGGGGAAAAGGCAGCAGAGCAGATGGCTACAATGGCAGCATCTCTGCGGGCTCCCTCCCAGGCTTCTCCTGGGGCCCCACATTTTGAAAGGCTGATCGCCAAAACCGTATATGCCAACGACCTGTCTTACTGACCAGAGGCCCTGTGACTGCCCTTTAAGACATCAGGAGCAGCAGGCATAGTCGGGAACAGACACCCCACTACCCCCAGCCCATGGCTGTGCACCTGAGCCTGGGGCGTGGCCTGGGAGATGGTGAGGCCATTTATCCCACTATTTGTCTGATGGCCAGACGTGGGCATCAAATGGGTTCACGGCCTCCACTCTGCCCTTTTGGACCCTGGGCAATTACCGAAGGAGGGGGATATGCTCCGGGAACAGTCACTGGCTCCCTAGGGCAGAAGGAACTTCTGGTCTGGCCTAGCCAAGGGGTCTCTCCTGGCTCACCAGAAATCCAAGACCTTACCAAACATTTCCTGAACCCCAATGGCACCAAGAAGGGCTAGAATGAAATGTCTGGCAGGTGAGGAGAGACAGACAGACAGCTATAGTGCAAGACTAAGTGGTTTATGCCCTCTAAAATATATATATATGTATATAGATGTAAATAGATAGATATAGATATATAAACAGAAGCAAAAGAAGAAAATATGAATTGCTTTTGTGAGAGATGATGGGAAGACTTCAGGGAGCTGGGGCTTTGCCCCTGGCCCTTGAGGAATGCACAGGAGCTCCCTGGGTACAGAAGGCAAAAGGGAAGAATCACCCACATAAGAAATGGCTAATGAGTTGTATTAATGCCACTGGTTGGACTAGAAATCATGGACCATGCAGAGACACAAACGAGGCCACTGAGTTTAGACTTCCCTCTCTGGGCCAAAGCATGTCCCTTAGAGCTTGTGTAGCTCCAGTCTTCCTTTTCCAAAAGGGGACTGTGGCTACAACTTCAGGGAAATGCAGCTTCATAGCATAGGTGGGTGTTGGTGGGGGCCCAGGGGCCCCCAAAGGTTACTGGGAAGTAACCTTTGCTGCCCTGGCTTGGGCTGCTGCAGCCTTCAGACAGTTTCCGGTCACCCCTCCTCCTGGTATTCAGGCCGTGTTTGTCCCCTTCCATCCTGTGTCAGGACTGTGTGGACAACAGAAGGGCACAAGGGATGGAAGCTGATTTCTAGGGTTAGATCATAAAACGCCATTTGGCTGTTGCCTTGTTCTCGCTCTTGGGTCAGTCAACAGAGGCCTCCACGGTGTAAGGATGCTCAAGGGCCCTACAGGCATGGACCGTCCACACAGAGAAATCCCAGGCCTCCTGCCAACAGCCAGCGCTGACCTGCCCGTTTTGTGGAAGTGAACAGGACCACCTGGAAGGAGGTCCTTGTCAAGACACTGGTCAGGCCTTCGGATGACTGTACCCTCAGGGCTGTATAGCTGCTCCCCAATATTGATTCTCAGAAATGGTGTGTGACAGCCAATGCCTTCAGCTACTGAGTTTGGGGATTTTATTTTACAGGCATAACACCATGCCAGTGGATTCCAGAGCACTTTTGTTGAAGGATGTGGTTTGGGAAACATGACTAAAGGCCACCAGAAAGTTCTGGAGCTAGCAGGGCTCCAGATGCTGCAGGCAAATGGGGTGCAGTGTGGAGGGAAAGTGACTCATTTCGACCAGTCTCACCATGGCCCATGGACTGTGACAGTGCCTGCCATTTTCCTCACCACTTAACTGCTTTTCTGCATATAATTTGATCAACTTACTCTTTGTTGGCTTCATGGGAAGCTGTGCTATCCTGGATGTCATGGGCCTAAGAGGCTTAAGTTTTCCTTATAAAACTTATAATAAACACAACAATAATGAAATGCAAATCATTTTCCTCCTGAAGGTCGGCTGGGGAGCCTTGGTGGCCCCGGAAAGTGTGAATTTCAAAAGGCAGGAGTGATGAGTCTTTCCCTCTTGATTGTCTTCTCTGATCAAGAGAAGAGGAGGGGGCCCACCCCTGCCCCAAAGGTTCTTCCTGCAGATGCTCCTTTCCCCAGGAGCGTCCTCCTCCCTCCGTCCGTCCTCCCTTCCCTCCGCCCTCCCCTCCCTCCCCGCCCAGGCTTGTCCTTTCTGTCCTTTCCTTCCAGTCCAGGCCTGGACCAGGGCTCATTTGCTGGGAGGCAGGGAAGCCAGAAGAGGGCTTTGATCGCAGCAGGCCCCTGATTAGGGCAGGATGAATATGCTAATGAGGCCTCAACTGCGACTCCTCCCTCCTGGCCCCTGGACCAGGTAGGGAAGGGGGAAGAGACCCAGGACCACCTCCTGGAGAAAAGGCCAGAAGTGGGAGGGCTGTGGAGACATTCAGATCAGGAAAGATGCTAGAAGGCTCTCAGCAGGGAGAGCACCAGAGACCTTATAGAGGGCTGGATGCTGAGACCTGACGGAAAGCCCAGAACAATCAACCTATGCCTTCCACACAGACACCCTGCACTTCTCAAGCCACTTTCCAACTAGAGCCCCCAAAACCAGTGCTGCTGGCTGGAGCTCTCTTCCCTACATCCCCTTAGCAAATATCTGGCGCTGCCCCCTTGGGCAGTCTGGCCTAAGTCCTAGGGCTACCTCCTCACAGTGGGGGGTGGGGATCCCCAGGGACAGGGGGTCGTGGCCCCAGGCCTGTGGAGCAATACCCAGTGCCACCATCCAGTACAGCACAGAGCTCACAGGCCCATTTTCTACCCCACAGTTGGGGCCTCAGTTTCAACACCGCTGAGGCAGCCTGACTGGCATCCTTTTTTCTCCATCCAGATCGAGGGGTCCGAGGTGCACTCACCCTCCTGAGCCCACAGCCTCCATGCAAAAGAGGGTAAGAGGGTGGGACCAGGGGTGGGGGGGGTGAAGGGGTTGCTGTGGGTGTCTCCTCCGTTCACACCCTCCTGGACTTGGCAGAAGATCAAGGGGAAACAGGAAAAATTTCGGTTTATACACTGCAGTGTTTTCTGGTTTACACACTGCAGTGTTTTCTATGAAGAGACAGAGACAGACCCAGGGCTGACCCAGCACAAGGAAAAGGGAGAGCCCCAGGGGGAGGTCTGGATCTGCCTTCTTTCTCCAGGTTCCGCCAGCACCCGGTGCCAGTCAACAACCCCAAAAGGATTGAAACTGCAAACCCTGAAGGGAGGACTGGGAGGAGGGCAGGGAGGTTTTGCTTTTCTCCCTCTGGGAATCGCTGATGCTCTTGTAATGAAAACAAACCAAGATTAAAGAGCAGAAAGAAACTTAGAGCAATGTCCAGACTGCTCAGCAGGTAGATGTGGGTGGGTGCACCCTGAGTGCAAACTGCGGGGTGAAGGTCGGGGATTTGAGACGAGTGGCTGGGCCAAGGTCCTGACTGTGGTCTCCAAAGTGGGCTTGGCCAGAGTGAAGGGGGAAGGGAGAGACTAGGAGAAGTCTACTAACATGAGCCCTTGACCTAGAAGAAAAAGGGCAGCAGGGAAGGGCGGCGGGAGCCCTGAGCTGGAGGGGCTGGTGTTTTAGCCACGGTTTCTGGGAAGCAGACCCTGAGACAAGGATTCAAACACAAACACTTTATTTGGGAAGGGATTCTGGGAAACACTGGTGGGTGTGGGGACTGAGACAGGAAGGGAGCAGTCCATAAAAAGGTCTTTTATGCCCTCTCTGGTGGTGCAGCGGGTTAGGACGCAGCACTGCAAGCTAGCCGCAGCTGCTTCAGTGCAAATTCCATCCTCGGGCTCAGGAGGTGACCCACATGGCACAGCTGACCTCTCCTGACCCACCCGCTGCTCCCCTCAGCAGTGTACTTCACCAATCTGCCTGTTCTGCTCCCCACTCTGTCTCTGGTGAATCCTCTCACCGCCCTGCACCTCTGGCCTGTACCCCAGTTCTGTGTGCATAAATAAATAAATCTTAAAAAAAAAAAAAGGCCCATTATAACAGGTTTCCAATGTGGGCAGCAGTGGTTCAGTCCTCAAGGGGCTCTGGAAACCATCTAGAACCTGGCGTCGGTTATCCTGTTAGCGGGCTGGGGGCCAGGGCTGGGGACTTATCCACCAAGTCCAGTTAGTCAGGGGCCCAGAGCTTGGGAGTGTCATTGCTCAGGTCTGGAGTGCAACAGGGCAAGGCAGACACTGGCAGCCCCAGAAAATCTTCAGGAGGCAACGACCCTTTACCTGAGGGGACAAGGGTGGGGACCAACTGCCAGCCACCCAGTGTAGGGTGGTGGAAGCCAGCAATGCTGCAACCTGAGGGCCTCGTTGCAGGGTGGCAGGTCGACCTATGAGCTGCCTCACCTGGTGCACGCACGGCTGGAGCCCAGACTTCAGAAACACCCCATCCACTCGGCAGCCATAGCACGCAAAGCACGCTACATCAGCGCCTTCCCTGTGAGTGCAACTCAGTGATGGAAACAGCCACGTTAACCACTCCTGTAAGGGCCCACCAAGAATGACACCTCTCTTCACTTTCTTAAAAGACTATCTTACACCTGCACCCCCATGTTTATTGCTGCTTTATTTACAATAGGAAAGACATGGAATCAGCTCAAATGCCTAAAAGTAGATGACTGGATTAAAAAGATGCGGTACAGGGCCCTCCCTGGTGGCGCAGCGGGTTAAAGCACAGCACTGAGAATCTAAAGCCACTTCCACATGAGTTCGATTCCCACCTGCCCCGGAGGTGACCACATGGCGCGGCAGACCTCTCCTGACTCGCCCACTGCTCCCCTCAGCAGTGTACTTCGTCGATCTGCCTGTTCTGCTCCCCACTCTCTCTGGTGAATCCTCTCACCCTCC